ATAAGAATCATAGGCATCCCTGAGGGTAAAGAAGAAAACCCAAAAGCCTGGAAAACCTATTCGAGGGAATAATTGAGGAAAACTTCCCCTGATCTTGCTAGAGATTTAGACGTCTAGACACAAAAAACTCAATGAACAGCTGGGAGATTCGCTGCAAAAATGGCATCACCAAGGCATATAGTCAAGTCATCAGACTGGCCAAAGACAACATGAAGGAGGGACTCCTATCAACCATGAGGTGAAAACATTAAGTAACTTTACAAAGGAAAACCCATCAGACTAACGGCAGGTTTCCCAAGAGAAACCTTATAAGCCAAAAAGAAATTCCTATCTTTAGTCTCCTGAAACAGAGTAACTGGCAGCCAAGAATTTTGTATCCTGCTAAACCAAGATTCATAAATGAAGGAGAAATAAAGTCTTTCCCAGATAAGCAAACGCTAAAGGAATGTGTCATTACCAGACCCATTTCCTGGAAATGCTCAAAAGTACATTATACACACAATAGCAGAATAGATACATACCAGTGTAAAAACATCCAAAAGTTACAGCCCACAGCTCTTATAAAACAGTAGCAGAAGAGGGAAAAAAAAACAATAAGGTATAATCCAACATGTTGAAAAGGCATCCCGCATATCAATACTAACACTCAGCGTGAACAGTCTGAATGCCGCACTTAAAAGACACAGACTACCTGAATGAATGAAAAACACAACTACAAGGACTCAAATAGACTCGAGGTAATGGTATAAAAAAAAAATATTCCATGCAAATAGAAACCAAAAGCAAGCATGGTGTAGCCATTCTCATATCAGATAAATAGACTTCAAATCAATAATGGTTAAAAAAAAAAAAAAGAGACAAAGATGTTCATTATATAAAGGTAAGGGAGCAATTCCAAGAGAAGACATAACAATCCTAAATATATATGTACCTAATACAGGACCTCCCAGTTTCATAAAGCAAATTCTTCCAGATCTAAGCAAAGAAGTAAAGAGTAGCATCTTAACTGTTAGGGACTTCAACACCCCTCTGACAGAACTGGACAGATCTTTGAGACAGAAAATGAATAAAGAAACATTGGACTTAAACAGGACTCTAGAACAAATGGACATAACAGACAGTTACAGAACATTCTACCCCAAAACTACTGAATATACATTTTTCTCATCAGCACATGGGACATTTTCCAAGACTAATCACTTCTTAGGCCACAAAACAAGTCTTAGCAGATTAAAAAAGAAATCCAAATCAGACCATGTATCTTCTCAGACCACAGTGGAATAAAACTAAAAATCAATTTCAAAAGACACACTCAAATCTACATAAAGTCATGGAAATTTAACAACCTGCTGCTGAATGATCCTTGGGTCAATGATGAAATTAAAGTGGAAATCAAAAGATTCACTGACCTCAATGACAAAGGGAACACAAGCTTTCAAAATCTATGGAATACAACAAAAACAGACCTAAGGGGAAAGTTCATAGTCTTAAATGCCTAAAGACAGAAAAATCACAAATTAACAACCTTATGTCACGTCTCAAGGTAAAAGAAAAAAAAACCAAACTCAAAGCCAGCAGAAGAAAAGAAATAACAAAGCTGAGAGCAGAAGACAACATAGCTCAGAAGACAACAAAGCTCAGAAACAAAATGGAAACAAACAAACAAAAAACCAAAAAAACAATCAAACGAAAAAAGCCCCACAAAGGATCCATGAAACAAAAAGTTGGTTCTTTGATAAGATAAATAAAATTAATAGACTGCTAGCCAGATTAACCAGAAACAGAAGAGAAAGGACTCAAATAACCCTAATCAAAAATGAAAAAGGAGACATTACAACAGATGCCACGGAAATACAAAACAT